ATATATAAACATATTAAGAATTTTATTTTATTAAGACAGGGCATTGCCCTGTTGCCCAGGCTGGAGTGCAGCGGCACAATCATAGCTCACAGAAGCCTCGAACTCCTGGGTTCAAGCAATGCTCCTGCTTCAGTTTCCTGAATAGCTGGGACTACAGGGGCATACCACCACACCTGGCTAATTAAAAAAATTATTTTGTAGAGACAAGGTCTCGCTTTGCTGCCCAAGCTGTAGTTGAACTCCTGGCTTCAAGTGATCCTCTGGCCTCAGCCTCCCAAAGTGCTGGGATTATAGGCATGAGCCACTGTGCTTGGCCAAAAATTTTAAATAAACAATATGAGGATTCTAGCTTTCACTACAGAGTAGTTCCTCCTCCTCCTCCTCCTCCTCCTCCTCCTCCTCCACCTCTTCGTCCTCCTCTTCTTCTTCTTCTTTTTTTGAGATGGAGTTTAACTGTTGTTGCCCAGGCTAGAGTGCAATGGCACAATCTCGGCTCACTGCAACCTCCACCTCAGGGGTTCAAGCGGTTCTCCTGCCTCAGCCTCCTGACTAGCTGGGATTACAGGCATGTGCCACCACACCCAGCTAATTTTCTTGTAGTTTTAGTAGAGATGGGGTTTCTCCATGTTGGTCAGGCTGGTCTCAAACTCCCAACCTCAGGTGATCCGCCCTCCTTGGCCTCCCTAAGTGCTGGGAAGAGTATAGTTTTTCTTAATCCAACAGAAAAATATTTTACTCACAACAAATATAAATTGCCCCCATGAACAAATGTATGTAATATCAAGGATAACATGTGTACAAACAAAGTTGCACTAACAAAGTAAAAATGTATCCCACATACATGAAAGCAGTGCTAAGTTCTAGGGAAGCAGACAGTTTCTGCTTTCAGGGAGCTTCCAGTCTGGTAGAGATTTACACAGAAGGCAGATTAAAGAGACTGATGATCTCCTTTGTTCAGAGATAAAAAGGAAGCAAAAAAGCAGGTCAAATCAAAGATGATCTGCAGAATACATTAACCCTACACTGAAATCATGGACCTACTCCAGTAATTAAGGCTGCAGAGGTGGGGCTGGGTGGATGAAAACATCAGAAGACAATTACAGCATGAGTTACTGATTGATTGACTGATTGAGACAGGGTCTCACTTTGTCACCCAGGCTAGAGTACAGTGACATGATCTTGGCTCACTGCAGCCTCCACCTCCTGGAGCTCAAGTGATCTTCCCACCTCAGCCCCCTAATTAGCTGAGACTATATGCGTGTGCCACCACACCCAGCTAATTTGTGTATTTTTTGTAGAGATAGGGATTCGCCAGGTTGCCCAGGCTGGTCTCAAACTCCTGAGCTCAAGTGATCCGCCTGTCTTGGCCTCCCAAAGTGCTAGGATTACACGTGTGAGTCACTGTGCCCAGCTGAGATTTCTTTTTTCTTCATTAATCAGCAAAATAGAAACCCTATTTATTTATTTCAAGATACTTTTTTTTTCTTTGCTAACAACCATTTCCTAAGGTAAAATGAGGCAGAAAGAAAAGGAGTATGATACTATATGCACTGAGTCTTCAATTTTCTTCTAACAGCTTGTATCAGTGGCTTTCAACTGGGGGCAATTTTGCCTCTCAGAATGGCAATGTTTGAAGACATTTTTGGCCATAACTAGGGGGATGCTACTTGTAGCTAGAGGGCAGAGGTCAGGGATACTGCTAAACATCCTATAAAGTACAGCATAGCATCCCAAAATAAAGATTTATCCAGTCCAAAATGTCAATGCTGAGATTAGGAAACCAGGCCATGGTTGGATAAAAAAGATGAAAAAATCAGTACGTCTACAGTATAAAAGCAATTAGTAGCACTTTAAGATAGATTGAACAGGAACATTCTCTTCCTTGATGAGACAGTTGCAGACCTTCTAAAAATATCTGATAGATCCATAATGGGAAAATAAAACTTGCTGAGAAATAGCACAAATTTTTCTAAACTTCAAATACTAGCATACAAATGAAAAATAAACTTGGAAGATAGAAAGGACAAACCAGGTGTGGTGGCTTACACCTGTAATCCTAGCACTTTGGGAGGCCGAGGTGGGCGGATCACAAGTCAGGAGTTTGAGACCAGCCTGGTCAACATGGTAAAACCCTGTGTCTACTAAAAATACAAAAATTAGCTGGGTGTGGTGACACGTACCTGTAATCCCAGCTACTTGGGAGGCTGAGGCAGGAGGATTGCTTGAGCCTGGGAGGTGGAGGTTGCAGTGAGCCGAGATCATGCCACTGCACTGCAGCCTGGGCAACAGAACAAGACTGTCTCAAAAAAAAAAAAAAAAAAAAGAAAGGACAATTTTGTTGCTCAATTGATCTTATCAACTGTTTCTGCAACCACAAAAGCAAATGTGGTCACATTTCTGATTTTGGTTAACTCTGAAAATATTTACTAAACTCTTATCACTAAAAATGGCCACAAATATTAAAAATAAAATACTAGTTTTTAGATTCACAGAAGAAAAAAATAGCCACTAACACTTGAGGAGATGCTCAATTCCAATGAGAGACATTCAAAGTTACTTTCCAACATTATCTCAAAAGTATTGATCCTTTTTTTTTTTTTTTTGAGACACAGTGTCGCTCTGTTGCCCAGGCTACAGTGCAGTGGCATGATCTTGGCTCACTGCAACCTCCACCTCCCAGATTTAAGCAATTCTCCTGCCTCAGCCTCCTGAGTAGCTGGGATTACATGCTGGCGTCACCACGCCCAGCTAATTTTTGTACTGTTAGTGGAGACAGGGTTTCGCCGTGTTTGACCAGGTTAGACTCCTGACCTCAAATGATCTGCCCACCTCAGCCTCCCAAAGTGTTGTGATTACAGGCATGAGCCAATGCACCCAGCCCAAAGTATTTATCCTTTATCTTGTGGTTATATGTTGGGAAAGAAGAATGTGGAAAAGTGAACTAACAAATTTTCAGGTATTAATATTACAATTTAGTATATTCTGACAAAAAGAATTATTTTCTATAAAATTACACCCATTGGCTGGGTGCAGTGGCTCATGGCTGCAGTGGCTCACGGCTGCAATCCCAGCACTTTGGGAGGCCAAGGTGGGAGGATCACTTAAGGCCAGGAATTAAAGACTATCCTGGCAACATAGCAAGACCTTGTCTCCACAAAAAAAGAAAAAGAAAAAAAATTACACCCACTGAGAAACAGAACGTGTAACAGTAAAACAACAGAGCAGCTTCCATGTGATTTTTGATAGGAAAGCTTTAATTGGGGACTAAGCTTTGTAAAAAGGATGTAAACAGGGGAAAGAATGAAAAGAATAAGATTTATCTACATAATGAAGTTTGACTTTTCACAGTAAATAAAATACCTCAATTTATTAATAACAAAAATATTTCCAAATGTTAATTAGTAGATTTAATTATACTATATATTTGCTACAATGCCTTCATCAGAAAATTTAATTAAGAAGATACTTGAAGTTCATTCAAATGGCACTTGCAGAAATGCAACTTAACTTCTAGTTCTAGGCCGGGCGCAGTGGCTCACACCTGTAATCCCAGCACTTTGGGAGGCCGAGGCGGGTGGATCACCTGAGGTCGGGAGTTCGAGACCAGCCTGACCAACATGGAGAAACCCTGTCTCTACTAAAAATACAAAATTAGCTGGGCCTGGTGGCACATGCCTATAATCCCAGCTACTAGGGAGGCTGAGGCAGGAGAATTGCTTGAACCTGGGAGGCAGAGGTTGTGGTGAGCCAAGATCGTGCCATTGCACTCCAGCCTGGGCAACAAGAGTGAAACTCCGCCTCAAAAAAAAAACAACTTCTAGTTCTATCATATCTGTCTCCAAAATGGACATATATGACAGCAAAAACAAAATTCTCTATAAGTCTCTTCATTAGTTACAATACTATGTAACTAAAATAGCTAGTTCTATAATAAAAGGATTTTATGTGATAAATCCTGACCAAGAGAGAAATAAAGTCATTATTGCTGCAAATCCAAATGGAACCTACCCCAAATATAGGGAGGGGCAAATAAAGTGAAAACATGTTGGAAGGTGGGGTCAACTGCCTTAGGACAATTCTACATCCAACTTGACACTACTCACAACTTACTCCTCTTCACTGTTTCTTGCAAGAAAGTCTGAGAATGCGAGACTGTCCTTGCTGCTCCCTGTGGATCTCTGGCCGAGTGGCTGAAGGGCAATCCTGAGCACAGACACACTCTCCTCCCCTCTATCCGCTATCCGCTGCACATACTCAGAGGGATGAGTGGACCGAACAAACATCAAAAAGATGCAGGAACAAATAAAATACCCCAATAAAGGCAATTCTTAAGTGGTCAATAAATTAGGGCACTTTCTTCAAATTAAGCTCTGTCAATTAGGCACTTAATAAAAACAAAAGACATTAATACAAGCATCTAAACAACGAAGAAAGATAAAGAACAAGAGAAAGGCAAGATTTATGTTAACTACCAGCACGTTATACTTCAGTCAGAAGTTTTTGAAAGAAATATTATTTGAGAAGGAAAATAAGTAGCATTTTTCTGTTTCTTAAAAATCAATATTCTTTTTAGTTCATTAACTAAAATTAGTTTTTCAGTGTTTTCAACATAGAAAGAATGCTCAGATTTTGGTTGAACAAGGAAAAATTAAGGCAGTGTCTTTAAGACCAGTAAAGGAAAGCATTAACTAACTCATAAGCTTATCTGAGAGGGACATATTAAGCTCATATTTGGATATAATATCAGAAAATTATGGCTTTAAACATAAAATATTAATGTTTCAAAATTCCACATTTTCTCAGTTATTCTTTCTTTTTAGCTATATGTACTTCAAATAGCCCACTTAAATTTAAAGAATTAAATAAATACATTTCATGTAATTTTGGAACAATATGTGCATGGTGATTGACCCAGAACTATTAGCTTGGAAGGTAAATCATTATGTTCCTATGTACCATTGACCCAGTATAAAAAGGAAGAGGACCCACAACTGTCAAAATATGGTTGGAAATGACTAATGTCCCTTGGAATTTATTACAAAATAGAAGATATAAAGTTTTGAGGTATTGCTGCCTTACCATGATTTAGGGAAAAAAGTAAGAGTTTTTTTAAAGCAATGCTTCTTAAGTTATGAAGCTTATTTAACATTTTCTCCTCTTAGTCATTGTCATATTGGTTATCCCTGAGCTTCATCTCATCTGCACGTCACATAAACCAGCCATCTATAGTTTTGATCATTTCATTTAGTGTTATGTCTTGTTATACCAATTCATAGAGCGTTTCACTGCTTTGGCCCAGTTTTCCAGACTCATTTCATATTCTTGACATTTCTTCTGTGGCTTGAAAACCACTTCACTTTGTCTCAGTTTCTTTAGTTCCTCCTTGTCAGTCCAAAACCCTATAGATTAAAAAATTATTCTCAAATTTTAAGGCAAATCATGAGTCCAATAAAGTTTATCCAAAATCCTATGTGAGTTGCTGGTAGAAAGGTAAACAAAAACTATTTTTAAAACAATCCAAAATACTTTGTTACTTTTGAATTTTGTTAGATTGATCATTCCTGAAAATAATTATACCAGGATTTTCAAGTCTTTTGGTTTCTAACTTTCAGCTCAGTTTCTGTGTGGTGGGATACCACATCACTTCTAAAGTAGCTACCCTATGCCATCATTTAATTTCATAACTTGCTATTATTAAAACAATCCCAAGTGAAAAAAACAGTATATTTACTGGCCAGGCACAGTGGTTCACGCCTGCAATCCCAATGCTTCGGGAGACTGAGGAGGGAAGACCACTTGCTTAGGAGTTCGAGAGTGCAGTGAGCTATGATCGCATCACTGCACTCCAGCCTGGGTAACAGAGAAAGACCCTGTCTCTAAAAAAAGAAAAACAGAAGAAGAAAAAGAAAACAAAAAAAAAAGAAATAGGGTATTTTCTTTTTATGCAATTAAAATAAATGAAGATGCATTAAGATTTTTGTCTTACAGTTTAAGGTAAATGTCAACTTTCTGAAATATGCATAAAATTCAAAGTTGGGGATTAATGTAATAGTTTCTCTTTCAAACTATAGTCTTTTATATAATTTATTTAAATTCCAATTTAAGACAATTTTGTAGTTCTAGCATAGACTGCTCTTTGCAGGAAGGATCATATGATATATAATAAAAAGCAAGAGAACTTTTTTTTTGGAGACAGCCTCATTCTGTTGCCCAGGCTGGAGTACAGTGGTGCGATCTCAGCTCCCTGCAACCTCCACCTCCCGGATTGAAGCAATTCTCCTGCCTGGGCCTCTAGAGTAGCTCGGCCCATAGGCATGCGCCACCATGCCCAGCTAATTTTTTGTACTTTTAGTAGAGATGGGGTTTCGCCATGTTGGCCAGGCTGGTCTCAAACTCCTGGCTTCAAGTGATCCACCCTCCTCAGCCTCCCAAAGTGTTGGGATTACAGGCGTGAGCCACAGCGCCCAGCGAGAACATTTATAACTAAGATCATAAGTCATCTGAAATGATACAGGTATGTTATTAGTAAGCTTGGCACATTTCACCTACTGAGCAGTCTATCGCACCTCTTTTGAAGTACTAACTGTCTACAAATCTTCATGAAGTACATTTTCTCTTACCAATAAAACTGACACATAAATTCTCCTTTGTAAAATGTTGTCAGGTCACATTCTTTTTCTTTACAGTCAACATTTTAGACTATCTATGTTTAAAGGTATTAATGTAGGCTGGGTGCGGTGGCTCATGCCTGTAATCCCAGCACTTTGGGAAGCCGAGGCGGGCAGATCTTCTGAGCTCAGGAGTTCGAGACCACCTTGGGTAACATGGTGAAACCCTGTCTCAACTAAAATATAAAAAATTAGCCGGGCATGGTGGCACGTGCCTATAATCTCAGCTACTTAGGAGGCTGAGGCACGAGAATCACTTGAGCCCAGGAGGCGAAGGTTGCAGTGACCCGATATCACACCACTGCACTCCAGCTTGGGCTAAAGAGTGAGACTCCATCTCAAACAAAAAAAAAAAAAAACAAAAACTTAAATTAAAAATAAATAAATAAAGGTATTAATGTAGGCAAGTTTTTAAAAGAAAAAAATAGTTTTCATCAGTATACTATAGTTAGATAAATCTAGTCAGGAAAATAAATGTGTTTCTTAAAATCCTCATTTCCAGAATTTATTGTTTACATTTTAAGGCATATATATTTTAAGTCATTTTATTAAGTATGTATTGAGCAAATCCAATTTCCAGGTAAATTCATAAAATAAAGAGGATATACATAGTCTCACATTTCTGAGACAGAAGCAAATGTTTGAAATTAAATATAATGATGTAGATAAAACTCAAGTCACTGTGTTATGTATAAAAATAACCTGCATGTGGGGCCGGGTGCAGAGGCTCACGCCTGTGATCCCAGCACTCCGGGATGTCGAGGCGGGTGGATCACCAGAGGTCAGGAGTTTGAAGCTAGCCTGGCCAACATGGCGAAACCCCATCTCTACTAAAAACACAAAAATTAGTCAGGCATGGTGGCGGGTGCCTGCAATCCCAGCTACTTGGTAGGCTAAGGCAGGAGAAACGCTTGAACCTGGGAGGAGGAGGTTTCAGTGAGCTGAGATTGCGCCATTGCACTCCAGCCTAGGCAACAGAGGGAAACTCCATCTCAAAAATAAAACAAAACAAAACACAACAAAACAACCCTGGGTGTATCTGTTACTTAAAGCATTTTAAATGTTCAAGAGAATCTGACTTATTTAGTCTTATCAGGTGAAAAGTGTAGAAGAATTTGATTAACATAAGTATAAAAATGCTTATGAGAACTTGATTTACTATAATTATAGCTTAATTTATTCAATTTGTTTGTTGTTTAAGTATTTGTGATTTACCTTGTTACAGTTCTAAGTTTGCTCAATCAGGCATGTGAAAGTAATAAGAGAAAAATCAAACATACTAAATTTATAGGAGTTGGAATACAAAGGAGTTCAAATTTTCAAATGAGATTGATTATTTAAGGGACAGTTTATTTTCTTCAACTTTAATTAATCAAACATTAATCAATGAACAAATGAAAGTAACCGTTTCAATTTTATTCAAAATTACCAGATTTTTAGTAGAATCAAGTTTAAGCCAAATTTACCAAGATTTTAGGCTTTTTGTAACTTTAATATACTATTAGCCTAAAACTTTTAAATGTAAAATATCTTATTTTGTACCAAACACTCCCCAGAAAGAAACACATTAAAACACTCTGAGTGTCCTAAGGCATCGTCCTGCTTCCTAGGCGGCCCTTTAAATCGACATGCCTACTTCTATTCTTATTCCTCCTCACTGATCTTTTCACTAATTGTCAAAGTGATCTGTTCAAATGCAGATCTTTCTACGTTCCCCCCTGCTTAAAATTCTTTAGTGGCTCTCCAGTGCCTTCAGGGTCAGGTCCGAACTCTTCTTTATAAGGAGTCACCACAACTGGACCTCTACGTACCTCTCCCACTCCCTTCTTGCTCTCACCGTAACAGTACTTCCCATCATTGACCAATGCCTTTGCACAAGTTGCAATAGGGATATTGTGCCACCCATTTCTCACCCTCTCCTCACCTGACTCTCTGCTAGCGCCTTCAAAATTGAACTATATGTGCTCTCCTCTGGAAAGCCTAGATCACTTGCTTATTAATACTGTCACTGTTCACTGGCTTTATCAAACAAACTTAATAATCACTTGACTTACCTGTCTCCTCCCACCAGGGATCAGAGACTATGGCTTTTAATCTCTTTATTGCCAGCAGTGATTGTCACGTAGCAGATGCTCCACAAATGTTGTTCAATAAATAAAAGAATGGAGTGGTTTCTAATGCCACAGGCAAACCTACTGACAAGGTTTATTCCTTGATCAAACTCCAATCAGGCTCCTCCAAGCTCTTTTCCAACTAGGCCTCAACTTTTGGACTTCCATAGTCATCTCTGCATTATCTAATTTGAGCAAGAATTCTGCTAAATTGGTGTAGCCACAATCTCCCATCCTCAATTTCTGATCAACCTCGATATCTCATCCTCCAGATGATATCTGATCACCCTGGCCTGCCTTCTTGAAAATATTATTAGGTTGGTTAGCAAGAATGTCCCCTTACCTCAATGTTTCCTCTTAGTAATTTTCCACCCACTGACTCTCACTCTGCTCTTTGGCTATAATTTGTCACTTTTCCTTATTGTATTCAAAGTTGAGCCTAATCTCTCTCCCACCATAAGATCCCACTGAAGTAGTCCCTATACCTATCTTGATAGTCCTCCAGAATAAAGCCCAGCTTACTGTTCTTTTTTTTTTTTCTTTTGAGACAGAGTCTTGCTCTGTCACCCAGGATGGAGTGCAGTGGCACCACCTCGGCTCACTGCAACCTCCTCCTTCCCAGGTTCAAGCAATTCTCCTGTCTCAGCCTCCCAAGTAGTTGGGATTACAGGCATGTGCCACCATGCCTAGCTAATTTTTGTACTATTAGTTGAGACAGGGTTTTGCCATGTTAGCCAAGCTTATCTCGAATTCTTGACCCTCAGGTGATCCACCTGCCTCAGTCTCCCAAAGTGCTGGGATTACAGGTGTGAGCCACTGCACCCAGCTCACCTTATTGTTCTTTAATAAGTGTCACTGAATAATTTTTTTTCTTTAACACTATCTATCCAGAAAGTTTACCCAGAGACTCTCTCTTGCTAGAGACTGACACAGCTGAGAATTAACTGTCCTTGTCTCATATTTCTGACTGAAGGAGTGAGGTAAGGATAGAAGAGGTGCAAACAGACTCACCAATAGAGGAGGTTACAGGGTATTCTGTGAGCAATATGCATATGTATATGGAGTTTAATGGACACCAAGGCTTTCCAGATTCTCTAGAATTTTTTGATGTGAGAGGAGAAATGCTATCTGTAAGAAACAGTTTGCAAGAAAGCTCTCATTCTTATAAATTTTACACATACCAACAGCAAGGCCAGCTAGAGAAGCTGCACCCAGGCATGACATGTCAACGTCCACAGGTCTGTCTATATTCTCATTAATCAGGTCTGAAGTCATCTGCATGACAAAACCGTTCTTACAAACTCCTCCATCTGCCCTGTGGGGAACAAAATATGTAAGATGAATTACTACAACAAAAGCATCATTCTTTTTCAGTGGGCCACATTTTTTTTCTGAAATCCTTGATTTTATTTTATACATTTAACTTTTTATTTCTAAAATTAAATCACTTAGCATTAACCTAATGGCAGAGAACCTTACTGGGTAATCTTTAAACATTTTCCTTATTTCTGCCATCAATTTTCTCACCTGCCCTTGTTTGTCTTAGGACTGGTTCAAAACAGGCCAGGTATAATAAACTAAGGTAACATAAAAATTCACTTAGATATTACAGAAAAGGAAGTCAAGAAGTTTGATGCTTACATGTCCAAAGGATAGTTACACACCCAAAAAAGAGATTTTAAAGATTGATATACTACACATATGTGGCATATATGGGTGCCAAGATGCACCCAAATTTGATATTGTATTCTCCATAAATACATAATTAGCTCTCCTCTCCTCTATGAATTCCTATGACCAAGAATTTTGTTGTAGCTGGGCATGTTGGCTCACACCTGTAATCCCAGCACTGTGGGAGGCTGAGGAGGGCAGATCACCTGAGATCAGGAGTTGAGTACCAGCCTGGCCAACATGGTGAAACCCCATCATTACTAAAAATACAAAAAAATTAGCTGGACATGGTGGCGCATGTCTGTAGTCCTAGCTACTCGGGATGGTGAGGCACGAGAATCACTTGAACCCGGGCAGGAGAGGTTGCGGTGAGCTGAGATCATGCCACTGCACTCCAGCCTGAGTGACACAGTAAGACTCCGTCTCAACAAAAATATAAATAAAAGAATTTTGTTGTGAAGGAGCTAGGCAGAAGTTATTTTTGAAATCCTCAATAATCATAAAGATGAATTATTCAGGATCTCAAAAAGAAATGAGTGGTAGCTCATAGCAGCTACCACTTTCTTCTAATTTCTAATTAAGTCTATTAGAAATAAACTTTACATACCGGATTTTTGTTACAGGAATATGAATCTCTTTCTTCATCATCTCATATAACTGTTTGTTTCTAGTTAAAAAACAAGATAACTATTTATGAGAAATTCATTTCATAATAATTCACTACTTTATTCTGATCTTGAAAAATACAAACTATAATTTTATTTATTTGATATTTATAAAATGTACAAAACAAAATATTAAAGAAATAAATTGTGCTAAATGAAAACTGTAGAACAGATACTCAAATAAGCAAGAAGCGCAGGTCCTTGTGGTTTTTTTTGCCTTCATGTAAGAAGGCATAATTTATATTTTACAACTAAATTTTATCTATTACCATTCTAGAAAGAAAAATTTAAAACAAGCATCTATTTAATAGATAGCTATTAAGATGGCAAACCATAAGTAAAATCTAATAGAATTAATCAAATATAAAAACAATTACTTTGTAATCACAGAAAATTTCATTTTAAATGTTACAATCCCATATTCATGACAGCATCATTCTTAATTTTAATAATTTACACCTGTCCCATCACAAAAAGATTACAGGGAAATATGCATGAAGAATAATTCTGATGACTCAATTTTGGGGCACAACAGAAGCATTATTACTTGGAATCCTCTTTCATGAATAAGGACACTAAACCTTTGAAAATCCAAATTTTGAATCTTGTATGCTTAAGAAATTGAATTAAAAAAAAAAAAATCCTTCAGTTTTCAGGTATCAAGTCTGAGTGGTATTGGTACATTAAATATAAGAAAAAATAAGAAAGATACCATGGAAATTAGCAAGAAGAACATATTACATAATATATAGTATCAAATAAGCCAAAAATACAAATTAAAGAATTTAATTAAAATTAAGAAATTTTCCATTTTGTAGCAAATTAATGAAAGACATGGCAATATTATATGGGGAAGGGGAAGTTCAGGGCAGGTTTTCATACCTGAAAGCTATTGACTCCAATATTGCTCGTACAAGATGGTATTTACTGGTGGAAGGCTTCAAACCCATAAAAGAGGCACATGCCCAGGGGTCATTTAATGGAGCCTACAGTAAGAGATAATAAGAATATATTATTATTATTCTAAATTACATCTACAGACTTGAGGAAATACTATACAATAAAAACACAGCCACATTAGAAGAAAATAATGCTATGGTTAAATAATTCAAAAGTAAAAGATAGTCCAAAGATTATGGTAAATATAACTTTTTAATAGCATTTAAATGATATTGAGTCACAGTTACTGTACTTAGCTTCTGTTTGCATTTATGTCAAAAAGAGGAACTGAAACATATAGTTACAAATTATTAAATGCTTAGCTTTATAAATGTGGAAAATGAAGAGCAATCACAGAAATCCCTTCTCCAGCTGTAAAGTTTTTACACTAAAATTGTTTACTATGTAGAATAGCTTTCTACTTTGTACTATGTAGAACAGCTTTCTACAAAAATGCACTTTTTAGTGTCATAACTTACATCAAATATGTTGTCAGACATTAAAACTATACTCTGGCCACGTTCAGTGGCTCACACCTGTAATCCTAGCACTCTGGGAGGCCAAGGAGGCAGGACTGCTTCAGCCCAGGAATTCAACACCATCCTGGGCAACAAAGCAAAATACCACCTCTACAAAAAACTTAAAATATTAGCTTGGTGTGATACATGCCTGTAGTTACAGCTACTTGGGAGGCTGAGGTGAGAGGATTGCTTGTGCCCAGGGGTTTGAGGCTGCAATGAGCCGTGATCACTTTACTGCACTCCAGCCTAGGTGACAGAGTGAGACAGGGTCTTAAAAAAAACACTACTATACTCTTCTCTCTTAGCTTAATAGTCTTACTGCCTAATATCAGAAATAATCCAGCCTAACATGTTCTCAAAAGAGCCAAAATCTTGAGCTAGAAATATGTATTAATCAGATGAGGTTTCTATTCATCTTTGTATCTCCAGAAATGTAAGGCAATTCTGGGACGCAAAGATGAAAAACAGGCCAGGCATGGTGGCTCACACCTGTAATCCTAGCACTTTGGGAGGCCGAAGAGGGTGGATCACTTGAGGTCAGGAGTTCGAAACCAGCCTGGCTAACATGGTGAAACCCCGTCTCTACTAAAAATACAAAAAAATTTGCCAGGTGTGGTGGTGGGCACCTGTAATCCCAGCTACTTGGGAGGCTGAGGCAGGAGAATTGCTTAAACCTGGAAGGCAGAGGTTGCAGTGAGCTGAGATCGTGCCACTGCACTCCAGCCTGGGTGAGAGAGTAAGACTCTGTCTCAAAAAAAAAAAAAAGATGAAAAACAAAGATCCCTGCTGGAGCTTGCAGTCTCATAAGGAAACAGATAAGAGTCTCACAAGAGCACTAACACACCAAAATGGTCATTACAAGGACATCTAGTGCTGTCAGGAAATTATGGTTCTCAGAAAAGCACCTTCTAGCTTCAGGGTTTTGACATATCATCGCTTTACCTGAAACACCTTCCACCACCCTTTCTCCTAATTAATTCTTACTCCTTTCAAATCTTGGTTTGGCTTCCTCAGGGAAAACTCTGGACCCCAGAGACTAGATGAGGTCTCTGTTTTTATGGAACCCTGTAACTTCCCATCATACCATGTACCAGAGTTTATAATCACATATTCCACTTGATGGTTTGTTGAAACCCCACCATCCTCAATACACTGTAAGTACCACAGGGTGGAACCTTGTCCGATGTACTCCCAGTGTGTCTCTTGTGCCTAGCACTATATCTGGCTCCCCATAGGGCAGCAATACACATTTGGTGAATAAATGAACAAACAGTATTTTTCTTAATTACTTAAGAAATTCTATATTATATCTTATCTTTGCTATAGCTATGATTTCCCTCCTACTGAGATTTTCTTTTGATAATTTTTCAAATCTATTAACAGCTTCTGGTGATTTTAATTAGTAAAAACATATACAATAAATCTGGTTTATATCAGATGGTATAATATCATAAAACTAAGATTAGTCAGATTTGACCAGTTCAATTAGTCCCTAGCAATATGCTATGTTTTTTTCTGCGTAAATATGACTTCTTCCAGGATATCACAGAAAATAGTGGTTTAATTGGCCTGAAATCTGTTTGGTGCCCTAGGCAAAACTAGTAGTCTCCTGCCCCAGAACACAGACTGCACCATTCAGACATCCTAGCCACTCACAAAACTAGAGATAGCAATCACAGGACTTGCTGGTTTTATCTCCTTCTAAGGAAACTGCTTGAATCCATAGGCCCTGTTATCTAAAGCTGCCATGTTTCATGCTCTAGTCCCAATGCCATCACCACAACTGTAGAGGGTGAGTACAGCTGACTCAATGTCTGACTGAAACGCAAAAGGACAAGGTGGTCCAAAACAAGGTGGTTTTCCTGGAAACCAAAACCAGGAAACACTTAAGAAAAAGACCCCATCAATGGGGGAACTGAAGCTAAAAGGATGCATAAGGTAGAGGAATGTTGTATGTGATATTTCTAAGTTGTGAAGAAGCAAAAAGTATGAGAAAAATAATGACAATTAAGCAGAAGCTATGGAGGAAGAAAGGATACACAGCAAAGTTGGTAATGAAAAGAGCAAAGCAGAACAGAGAGAAGCAGGAACTCAAACAACACTAAGAACTGCTGTCAGTTGCTGACTGCTTTCCAATCCCAGTCCTCAGGAGTATGTGGACAAACAGCTTCTCTGTCTATCCTATTACTGCCATCATCACAGTAACTCTAACATCCAGGTAAATGACCACTGATTCTTGCCTCTAATACCTACTTCGGTATCCCACTCCCCAAACCACAAGCCCTGCTAGAGGAAAGCCACAATGGCTGCACTAACTGATGCCACCCCCAGTGTATGGCTCCCACCCTTTCTGCCTTTCCCTGAAGTGGCTGTCCTAGACTTTCCCATTTCCCTCAAAGCTCATCCAGTACCCCTTTCTCAGGAGATTCCTTTGAGAAAATGAGACCATTAGGGGATTTCAACATCCTGATCCTGATTATCTAAGGCTGTACCAATATTCTAAAGCTAAAAGCAGTTTCACAGATACGTAAACCTTCTTTCCTTTCATTCCCCATCCCTCATTTTCTCTAGTTGTTGAGATAGGCAGATTATAGGTGATCTTCCCTCCTATTTTCCAAACAGTTTAGTATTAATACATTATTGCTGTTTGATCTAACTTTCAATTTCCAGTTAAAGTTTCTTTTTTTTTTTTTTTTTTTTTTTTTGAGACGGAGTCTCGCTCTGTCGCCCAGACTGGAGTGCAGTGGCGCGATCTCGGCTCACTGCAAGCTCCGCCTCCCGGGTTCACGCCATTCTCCTGCCTCAGCCTCCGGAGTAGCTGGGACTACAGGCGCCCGCCACCACGCCCGGCTAATTTCTTTTTGTATTTTTAGTAGAGACAGGGTTTCACCGTGTTAGCCAGGATGGTCTCGATCTCCTGACCTCGTGATCCGCCCGCCTCGGCCTCCCAAAGTGCTGGGATTACAGGCTTGAGCCACCGCGCCCGGCTAAAGTTTCATTTTACACAGGGAAATATATGACCTACAGTCAATCTACCACCTCTCCCAACTACCCTCTACTGCCAGTATATGGGCAGGTTACAATCATAGGCAGGACAGGGACATTTTGCTATCAAGATGAAATTAAAAATCAAACCTGTGATAGTTTTGTCTAAATCTTTTGGGTTTAATACTTAAAAAAAATATACTTTATATTATTATCATATAATATACATAATTATTATATTACAGGTATGTGAGGTGATAGAGAAGTCAAAGACAGAGACAGACTTGCTAAGACAAGGTGACTACTAAGTCCTGTAGCACATTTTTCAGAGAGAAGAAAAGAACCAGTAGTAACCTAATCAAACCTTACCGTGCTGAGGACAATTATTCATCTAACCTTTTTCCTGAAATCTCAATTAGATAAAAAATTTTCACTTTCTGGACTATGATAGGTGCTATTTAGAGGTTCCCTCACATCATCCTGAAGAGGATGCAATGGAATCAATTTACAAGCTTTCGGTCCTTTAGGATAAAGTACACAAAATAAAAATATTACAGGTATTGAAATCATGCTCATTTTAAAATCTAGTTTTGGAAGTATGTATTATTAAAGATTTAAAACACCCTGACCTAATTTTTTTCTCTACCAGCTTCTATATCATATACCCAAACTCAAATTTTGGACTTTTGTAATTAATTGCCTGAATATGAGATAAGCAAGAAGAAAGAGAAAGTTGTTTTTTTTTTACAGGAAAAAATATTTACAGGAGGATTAAAAAGAGAAGTATGAGCTTTCCCAAAAAAGTAACTTTCATAATAATATACTTGAAAAGTTGTTTTAAAAGTATTTGTAATAATATTCTAAAATTAAAGGCAGTATTAGAGATCTTTCAATTAAATACAAAGGTAAATGTTACAAAATCAAGACTTTTACTAGGTTCATTTTTTGATTAAGAAAAGTAGCCAATACTCCACCACAACAATTAATGAAAAGAGATTTTGATTTTTTTTTTTGAGATGGACTCTCACTCTGTTGCCCAGGCTGGAGCGCAGTGGAGTGATCTCGGCTCACTGCAACCTCCGCCTCCCAGGTTCAAGCAATTCTCCTGCCTCAGCCTCCTGAGTAGCAGGGACTACAGGCATGTGCCACCATGCACGGCTAATATTTTGCATTTTTAGTAGAGACGGGGTTTCACCGTGTTGGCCAAGATGGTCTTGATCTCCTGACCTTGTGATCCGCCTGCCTCAGCCTCCCAAAGTGCTGGGATTACAGGCGTGAGCCACCGCGCCCAGCCAAGATTTTGATTTTTTAAAAAGTTAGTAAAACTTACAATGTACAAGTGCAAAATATACACGTACATATGTATGTGCATATGTGTGTGATGTATGTACCTCGACATTATTTCTCTTAATTCTCAATAGCTTATTTCCTCTAAGTAAAGAATGAGAATTTGCTGATATATTCCCCCCACTGGGAAATGGCTATTTTTGCTCATGATAAAGTAAAGCTAAGTCTTATATAAAAGTTCTATGATAAACCTGCCAACTCAGGTTCCACACAGTTCTAAGCAGAACTCAGCTGAATTCCATCAGCACAAGCCAAGCCAGCAGGGCCATACTCAGGATGCTCTGTTCCCTCATGGAATTCATGCTTGGTCAGAGCATAACTTCTCAGCCCTAAAATCTACCTTTCATCTTAGTTCTGTTCAGTGCTCAAATTTTAAGGTAAGAGAGTCGTAGATATATAAGTTTGGGTGTGGCAGGAGGAGAAAAATATTTGTAATTGCCATTAACTTTAAAAAATATATACCTGTAATCCATTAAAAGATGGAACAAAACAAACTCCTTCAGAATCCTCCAAACTTTTGGCCATTTTTTCAGTCTCAGCAGCATCTGTGAAAAGGTCTGCAAAAACAAACAAACAACAAAAAACCCTAAAACAAAATGAAGAGGTTGGAGAGGCACAAACAGAATTATATTACATGATAGTATTTACCTGCATCAACATTTATTATGAATATAATGTAAAAGACTGCTCACTTAAAAAGGTCAGCATAAAGACCATTCTGTTCTGGTACTATCTGAATTCTCATACTGCATAGGTTTACAGGCCCATAGAAGGGAAACAGGAGGTAGAAGGCCCTCTTAGACAGGCTCTGTATGCAGCAGGCCTTACTTTTTTTTTTTTTGAGTTGGAGTTTTGCTCTTGTTGCCCAGGCTGGAGTGCAGTGGCACAATCTCGGCTCACCACAACCTCCACCTCCCGGGTTCAAGTGATTCTCCTGCCTCAGCCTCCCGAGTAGCTAGGATTACAAGCATGCGCCACCACACCCAGCTAATTTTGTATTTTTAGTAGAGATGGGGTTTCCCCATGTTGCTGAGGCTGGTCTCAAACACCCGACCTCAGGTGATCCACCCGCCTTGGCCTCCCAAAGTGCTAGGATTACAGGCATGAGCCAGCACACCCGGCCACTTTTTTCTTTAAAGATATTTGGGCTGTTTAAAAAATCAATTCTATGTAGGATTTTTGGCATTAAAAAATTATTCTCTGAAAGATAAGAGCCATCCAAAGTTTCTGATGAAAGTATCATCTACTTGTAATATAATGCCCAAGAGAATTAACTGAAATACTCCATCTAATAAGTTAAATAAGGGGCCAGTAACAGATATATTAAAAGTCAATTTTTTAAAAACAAGCAAACAAAAAAAACAAGACTTAATTAATTTAGTAAACTTTAACTTAAGTATATTATATACAGACCAAAAAAATGCACAAATCCTAAGTGTATATAGCTAGATGAGTTTTCACAGTGTGAATACACCCAAGTAACTCACACCCAGGTCAAGACACAAACTTCTTTTGTTAAACATCATACTCGTGAGATTCACTTACACCGTTACATGTAGTTGTACTCCATTCATTCTCACCTCTATATAGTATTCCATTATGTGACTATAGACAATTTATCAATCTATTCTATTGGTGATATACATCTGGATAGTTCCTAGTGTTTGGCTAATAGAAATAGATCCCAATGAACATTCATGCACATTCTTTTTGGTGGACATATGTAAACATTTCTGTTTATTGACACGAAGGAATGGAATGGCCAGTTCTAAGGTCTTTACATTTAGAACCAGCTTTAACAGATACTGCCAAATAGTTTTTCAAAGTGGCTCTACCAGTTTAAGGCTCCTGCCTGCAGCACGAGAGTTCCAGTCTCCTATCTTCCTGCCAATAATTGGCATTGTCTATGTTTTTCAATTTAGCTATTTTGGTAGTATTACATGGTGGTTTGATTTTGGATTTCCCTGCTGACTAATAAATACCTTTTCACTGGCCATTTGGATATCCTTGTTTGTAAAATGACTTCTGAATGAGTATGTAGTACTGAACAGCATAGATCAGAAGAAAAGACTCAGTCATAATAAATATTGCTGGCTTTAGAGAGGCTTAAGTTGGTTCTATATCATTTTATGATTTGTTATACAACTAAATTAATACACTTAAATTCACTAAAGACATTTAAGGAGCACCTATATTAAAACTCAAGTTAATGAGGATCACTCAATAATAACTAAAAATTTTACTCAAAATGACAGTTATCAAATCCGTAAGTTTCATCCATTTGTTCAAAATGTCCAGATAATGCATCAAAATATCTCTAGCACTTCAAAAACTAATGTTAAAAACACTGGTTTTAAGCTGAGTATGGTGGCGTACCTGTAATCCCAGCTACTCAGGCGGCAAAGGCAGGAGGATCACTTGAGCCCAGGAGTTTGAATCTAGCCTGGGCAACACAGTGAGACTCCTATCTCTTTAAAAAAATTTGGTTTTAAAATCTATACTTTTTTAACGAATCATGTCCGAATGTTCAATTTTTACAAGACAAGATGTAGGAAAACATACTAGACAGTTGGTTTGAGGAAAGTTTTTGGTAACTGATAAAGAAACAGAAAACAAAGAGAGATTATCTTATTCACATTCTTCACTGTTTGTTTCATCCCTTGCTTGAAGAATTTCTCTAAATAATCTTCCACTTAAACTGTTGTCAAATAAGCTAATTGATAAAAAGTCTTTCAGAGTAAGCGTACTCCATTCTCTCTCTCCCACTGAATGCAACTAAGAATCTTGGAGGAATAAATGGAAAAGCCATCTGGGGACTCCCTGTTTTTATATTTTCTCTGATATTCCTGGCCTAGACTCAGAAATAGCCTGAAACTCAAGGACTCAGATCTGTACACTGAGTGCAAATATGAAGAGCTTCAATAGAAGCTCCTTTCTGGTCTGAGCAGTAGGAGACAAGGGTCTCTACAGGACAGAGTGGAGGGATTCTCATTTTTTGTTTTCTTTAGATTTTTTTCATTCTCTCAGGCAATCCTATGGTAGCAGCCATGGCAGCCCAGTAGCACAGGCACATAAAACTGCAAGCTAAGAGTATGGGGGGAATCCCTGTTGCTTGCTGCTTCCCGCGCCACCGCTCCCCTTGGTCCTGCCTGCCCCTGGCAATCCTGTGGCTGCAGTGACAGCAGACAGAGCAGCAGAGGCAACCAAAACTCGAAGACGAGAGGTTAACAAAATCCCTTTTGCTTTCCCTCTTTTTTTTCTTTCTTTTTTTCTTTTTTTTTTTTTTTTGAGACAGAGTTTCGCTCTTGTTGCCCAGGCTGGGGTGCAATGGTGTGATCCCAGCTCACCACCACCTCTGCCTCCTGGGTTCAAGTGATTCTCCTGCCTCAGCCTCCCAAGTAGCTGGGATTACAGGCATGCACTACCATGCCCAGCTAATTTTGTATTTTTAGTAAAGACAGGGTTTCTCCACGTTGCTCAGGCTAGTCTCCAACTCCCAACCTCAGGTGATCCGCCCACCTCAGCCTCCCAAAGTGCTGGGAGTACAGGCGTGAGCCCCCGCGCCCAGCCGTCTTTCTCTTACTTTGTTTCCTTTCTTTCCCTTCTTTCCTTCTCTCTCTCTCTGACCCCCTTTTTCTCCTTCTCTCATCCCTCTTGCCATGAGGCTAGGGAGGTAGTAGTAGTAGCAGGTGTTCAGTAGAGAAACTAAAGCACCAGCTTTCTAGCTAGAACACCAATATGGGGATCCCCTGAGAGTCAAAAGGTACCAGGGAGATTACTGAGAGAAAGGAGCTAAGGAAAAATTACCTTATAAAGGTTTTTAATGAACTCCTCATCTCACTCTTGAGCTGCACATGTAAAGATCTGACCCTAAACAACAAGCCTAAGGCTTTGAGAACTAATCTCCAGGCAAACCACCACCCAGACTGACCACTGGGTGGCACAAATGAGGGGCAGATTCAAATAGCACTGCAAAAGCACTGAAAACTGAACTGACACTGGAACCACAGCCCAAAATGTGCATTTCTTTAATTATCGTATGTGAACAGCACTTCATGATAGTCATTTGATCATAAAATACCTGTACTTCTGTCCTTTGCCCGTTTTTGTCATGTTATTAATTTTTCTGACATATGCTACAAATTGTTATTACCAATTTGTCTTTTAATTTTGTGTATGGCATATCTCTCTTTACCCACTAAAATTTTATATAGTTAAATCTATTATTCTTTTTCTTTATGGTTCCTGTCTTTAAGACGTAACCTTTTACCATTTTGATATCATAAAAATACTTTATATTTGCTTTTAATAGACATCATTTTATTTTAGTGTTTCATTTGAACAATCCATTTGCTCCCTACTAATCTGCAATCCTGTGGCATTCTTGAATTCTTTAGGTCTGGCCTGTGAAATCCATTTAAAAGACAACTTACCTAACTGTTGAGCCCATTTTATGGCAGTACCAGTGTCTCCTGCATTGCTTTCAGCTAAGCATACGACTTCTTGTCCAATCTTCCACCCAATTAATGGATAAAAGCCTTGCAAAGCAAACAATGAATGTAAGTCAAAGATATGCATAATTCATTATAGAGACTTCTACAATGTAATGATTTGGTTATCTCAAAAAACTGCAAAGTGCCTCTGAAGTTAGACTGTGTACGTTCAAACTCCAGCCCTCTTACATTTACTAGCTGTAGTCTTGCAAGTTTCTAATCTTTTAGCTGCAGTTTCCTTAACTATAGAATGGCCTACCTCAGAGAGCTATGAAATGAATAAACTGAATTAACACATAAAAAGAACTTAGCACAGTGCCTGGCATATAATATGAACAATAAATACTAGTATGTATTAGCTATAGGCATGTTTATGTCTCTAGAAACATGGCAATAAATATTTTAATTGAGAAATAAAAGGGTACTATGAGATTGGTTTGCTAGAGAACTATGCTATTGTATTTATCTGTGGTTTTCAAACAAGGCTCCTAAATAGAAACAATCTAATAGAATTATCAACATTTTCTAACTTCCATCTTTATTTATTGATATTTAATAAATAGGATAAATTGTAACTACTTACCTCCAATAGTCTGTTGAAGGCTATTTCCAGTGTTAACATCCAAAAATGTCCCAGTTCCCATGGTTAATTTCACATCACCTGTCTGGAAGCAGCACTCTCCAAACATGGCTGATTGCTGGTCAGCAACCTACCAAAAATGTTCAAATGTAAATCCATTGCCCTTAACAGTGGCCAATTTTATTATAGCCCATTGTCTCACTTATTGCACTCTCATGATTAAACATCTTCTTTTCTTTTTCCTTTTCCTTAAAATAAAAAAAAAAAAAAATCCCAAAGAGAATAGGGGGCAACAACCATAGAATGGGAGTCTCCCTAGGACTAATACTCTGCAGATAACTAACATGCCTCAGGAAATGTTTTTATTTTGTTTTTGTTGTTTTGTTTTTTAGAGACAGGGTCTTGCTCTGTCACCCAGGCTAGAGTGCAGTGAGATCATAGCTCACTGCAGCCTCAAACTTCTGGACTCATGTGATTCTCCTACCTCAGCCTCCCAAGTAGCTAGAACTACAAGGCAGCTAGGACTACAGGTGCACACCACCACACCCAGCTAATTCTTTTTCATTGAGAGGGAGTCTTGCTCTGTTGCCAGTCTGGTGTGCAGTGGCACGATCTCGGCTCACTACAACCTCCAGCTCCTGGGTTCAAGCAATTCTCCTGCCTCAGCCTCCCAAGTAACTGGGACTACAGATGCACGCCACCACGCCAAGCTAATTTTTGTATTTTTCGTAGAGAGACGGTTTCACCATGTTGGCCAGATGGTCTCGATCTCTTGATCTCGTGATCTGCCTGCCCCAGCCTCCCAAAGTGCTGGGATTGCAGGCGTGAGCCACCGTGCCTAGCCAATTCTTTTAAATTTTTTTTGTAGAGATGGGGTTTCACTATATTACCCAGGCTAGTCTCAAACTCCTGGCCTAAAGTGATCCTCTCAGATTGGTCTCCCAGAATGTTGGGATTACAATCGTGAGCCACCGTGCCCAGCCTGCCTTAGGAATTTTTAATGGGTAACCTACTTCAAGACTTTTAAGTACCTATGAATAATCTTAGAAATGAAGGTAAGAATAAAAATGATACCCCAAAAAAAAAACTAAGATTTTTTCATTTTCCACTTACATTTGTTTCATTCATTAGTCAAAATAACTAACCCTCACAAATCTATTTTATTAAACAATATAAAACATAGGTAAATGTTTTGATATAAATAGATGTAAGTAAAAACCATCTATTTCCCAACCTGCATTTTTGTTAAAATAAAAATTGTAACATTTTGTTAATATAGTCAAATGTAGATACACAAACAGCAACATTTTAAGGATCAAAACTCATCTAAAGGCTGGGCCTGGTGCCTCATGCCTATAATTCCAACACTTTGGGAGACCTGAGGTCAGAAGTTCGAGACCAGCCTGGCCAACATGGTGAAACCCCATCTCTAGGAAAAATACAAAAATTAGTTGAGCATGGTGGTGCACACCTATAGTCCTAGCTACTCAGGAGGCTGAGGCAGAAGAGTTGCTTGAACCCGAGAGGCGGAGGTCGCAGTGAGCCATTGGTGAGATCATGCCACTGCACTCCAGTCTGGGAGACAAGAGTAAAACTCCATCTCAACAACAACAACAACAACAACAACAACAACAACAGTTCATTTAAAGAACCCTCTGTCACTAATTGGTAATTCTTCCAGCCATACCTTAATCTAACCCTGGACCTATGCCTAGATTGAATAAGACCGATCCTCTCTAAATGATAATGAATTTGTAACTTGGAAATTAAATTCACTTTCCCTCAGTTGCTCCCCCAGCTACTATGGAGACTGCCCATCTTGCAACAGGTGGTCTATACCTCCTGCTTAAGCTGCCACAAGAAATCAAAGGCAATGTGAAAGGACTCTTAAAAATCAAAAACAGGTTTGGCACAGTGGCTCATACCTGTAGTCCGAGCACTTGGGGAGGCAAAGGCGACGGAAGGCCCCAGTCTAGGAGTTCGAGACCAGCTGGGGGAACACAGCAAAATCATATGTCTACCAAAAATACAAAAAATTAGCCAGGTGTTGTGGCACACACCTGTGGTCCCGGCTACTTGGAGGCTGGGGTGGAAGAATCACCTGAGCCCAGGAAGCCGAGGCTGCAGTGAGCCGTGATTATACCACTGCACTCCAGCCTGAGTGACACAGTGAGACTCTGTCTCAAAAAAAAAAAAAATCAAAAATGGCAAATATTTCATTCTTCTACAAACTTATTTACTGGTAGATGCTGGCTAAGGACTTTATTAAATGTACATACAATTTTCTCTATTAGTTTAAGTTGCCCTAATTACTGTTTGTGGTTACACTTTATCAAACAGAACATAAATACTCGCTCCATCACTGTGTTTTGTACCAAATGTAAACTAAATACTACTCAGAATTTTAAAAATCTTTTAAAAAATTTAAATTTTCTGATAAACAATATACAGGCAAGTCAGAAAAGGTTATAAAGTACTTCCATGATAGAATACTGGCTCAATGGTCCCCTTCCCAAAAATATAGCAGATACTCTAGTCATATCCAGGCACCTTTAACTTAAAAAGAAAAAAAAATACTTTAATCTTTACTCTGCCAAAGACATTCTGTTTCCCTTAAAGCCAGTCCCAATTATTCATACATATTACTTTAGTTTATACTATACAAAGGGAATCCCTCAAGTTTCCTACTTACCAAGGCAACTATTGGTATAGGCACACCAAATATCTCTTCATCCACTGATCCAAAATTGTGGCTTCAAATAAAATTCATTAAAAAGTTAGTTTATATTAGTTTTAAAACTCAGCGAATTGTTTTTTTGCATAAGCCAAAAAGTTACATAACGAACACACAAGTCCTTCAAACATGTAATAAAATGCTTTTCCCCACAAAACAAAATGAATTCAAGAACCATTGTGCTGGTTACCATGTCTGATGTTTATTATTACCTTGTGTCCCTCACGGGAGGTAGGAGAGAAAGTGGTATCGAAATTAGAGAGGTAATTATCCCACTCCAACACATCTGAGGAGAAAAACATACCATCAGAATATGCATATTTACATATATCAAACCTCTAAACATATATCAAAAAATCATGTTGTACATGATATATTTGTCAATTAAAAATAAACTAATTTAAAAAATTTAAATCTATCTATATTACACAAAAATGTATGATTCAAAAAGAAGAAGAAAAAATTTTACCTTATATGGGTCAAAAAGTCCAGTTGTACTAGCATTTGAAAAATCTGTGGCATATACAGAACCTAAATTTAAATAGGAAAAATACATTTATTATCAGATAGTATAAATCAACACCTATCCATAGTGTATAATATAGACCTTTGTCTACCCTCAAATTCATTCCAAAATGTGTATTTTCTTTCTTTCTTTCTTTTTCTTTTTTTTTTGAGATAGAGTTTCACTTGTTGCCCAGGCTGGAATGCAATGGTACGATCTCAGCTCACCACAACCTCTGCCTCCCAGGTTCAAGTGATTCTCCTGCCTTAGCCTCCCGAGTAGCTGGGATTAGAGGCATGTGCCACCACGCCCGGCTAATTTTATATTTTTTAGTAGAGATGGGGTTTCTCCATGTTGGTCAGGCTGGTCTCAAACTCCCAACCTCAAGTGATCCGCCCGCCTTGGTCTCCCAAAGTACTGGGATTACAGGCGTGAGCCACCGCACCCGGCCCAAAATGTGTATTTTCAATGTGAAGTCTCCAAAAGCAATTTCCCACTTAATTTTTATAAACTTTTATAGTTGTGCAAAAGTACTTACATACATGTTGTCACTTTATGATCCCCCAGTTTAAAGATAACAAAGAGGCTCAAAGATGTTAATGTCACCATAGTTATACCCACTAGCAAAATGGCAGATTTATGACTGAACTTGTCTTATTATTCTTGAAATTAAGACTGTTCCCGGCCGGGCGCGGTGGCCCAAGCCTGTAATCCCAGCACTTTGGGAGGCCGAGAAGGGCGGATCACGAGGTCAGAAGATCGAGACCATCCTGGCTAACAGGGTGAAACCCCGTCTCTACTAAAAAATACAAAAAACTAGCCGGGCGAGGTGGCGGGAGCCTGTAGTCCCAGCTACTCGGGAGGCTAAGGCAGGAGAATGGCGTAAACTCAGGAGGCGGAGCTGGCAGTGAGCTGAGATCGAGCCACCGCACTCTAGCCTGGGCAACAGAGCGAGACTCCGTCTCAAAAAAAAACAAAAAACAAAAAACTGTTCCCCAGTCTTATATTGAAGTTTCATCACAATTTATTTAAAAATTGTCCTCCTCTTATAATAAATCTAGAATAAGTCTAGCTTTACTAGAACATGTTGTTATTAGAATATCAAAGAGCAGTACGTCTGGAGTACAGGAAGGGGGGAAAAAAAAAGTAACTTCTGGCCAGGTGTGGTGGTTTATGCCTGCAATCCCAGCACTTTGGGAGGCTAAGGCAGATGGACTGCTTGAGTCCAGGAGTTCAAGACCAGCCTGGGCAACATGGCAAAACCCTGTCTCTACTAAAAATGCAAAAAAATTATCCAGGCATGGTGGCACATACCAATAGTCCCAGCTACTCAGGGGGCTGAAGCGGGAGGATCGCCTGAGCCCCGGAAGCTGAGCTGCAATGAGCCATAATTACACCATTGCACTCCAGCCTGGTTGACAGAGCGAGACCCTAGCTCAAAAAAAAAAAAAAAAGCAACTTCTACTTTTTTCAGGCAAATCATTTCTCCTGATCAAATTTCAGTTACTTAAAATAGATCTTCCAGGTCTTACCTTTTGTGAGCTTATACAACAACCAGGTATCAACAGTTCCGAAGCAGCAATTTTCTTCTTCAACTGCCTTTTGCACCTTGAAAACACAACAGCACAAAATCGATTCAAAAAGGCCAAATTACTAAGTGCATGATTAAATGCAGATCAGTGATACAATATAAACCCATTTTTATAAAAATTAATATATACACAGAAAAAATTTCTAGAACATATTCCAAATGGTTCTAAGTGATTATTATATAGGGAATGAGATCTAGCCGGGGGAGAGAGGGAAGATTTTCATTTTCTATATAATATTTCTGAAAGGTTTTAGTTTTATACCAAGCATGTGTTAGTTACTTTTGTGTTTTTGTTTCTTTTTTTTAAAAAAAGCATATACATTTTTAGTTTAAACATACACTAGTTGGCTGGGTGCGGTGGCTCACACCTGTAATCCCAGTACTTTGGGAGGCTGAGGCAGGAGGATCACCTAACGTCAGGAGTTCGAGACCAGCCTGGCCAACATGGTGAAACCCCATCTCTACTAAAAATGCAAAAACTGGCTGGGCACGGTGGCTTACACCTGTAATCCCAGCACTTTGGGAGGCCGAGGTGGGCAGATCACGAGGTCAGGAGATGGAGACCATTCTGGCTAACATGGTGAAACCCCATCTCTACTAAAAAATACAAAAAAAAAAAATTAGCTGGGCATGGTGGCGGGCACCTATAGTCCCAGCTACTTGGGAGGCTGAGGCAGGAGAATGGTGTGAACCTGGGAGGTGGAGCCTGCAGTGAGATGAGATCACATGACTGCACTCCAGCCTGGGCGACAGAGCGAGACTCCGTCTCAAAAAAAAAAAAAAAAAAGCCCAAAGCTGGGATGGTATACTACGGCCCACAGGCCAAATCCAGCCTATTCTCTGTTTTTGTATAGCAAATTAAAAATGGTTTTCATAATTTTTAATGGTTAAAAAGACAAAAGGAGAATATTTTGTGACACATGAAAATTATATGAAACTCAAATTTCAGTGTCCATAAATAAAGTCTTATTGGAACACAGCTATGCTCATTTGTTGCCTATGGCTGCTTTCATGGCAGAGTGGTTGTGACAAAAACCTTATGCCCCTCAAAGCCTAAAATATTACTAACAGGACAATTCTTGGCATAAAGCATGCCAAGGGAAACAGAGGTGTCAACACCTCTTTAAACTATAATAGCTAGCAGAGAAACTGAAATGCCTATTAGGGTGTTATTAACAAACTGAAAAACAATTTCTTGAAAAAAAGTTTATCACCTCTATAACTCTTATGTGTCCTTCAAGACCAGCATTTCCTGGCTTTGTCCAAGCCTGGCCCACTCCCACACTCCTTCTAACTCAGTCTGTAGCATCCTATGGATAGCTTCCATTTAGCCATTATCTCACACCATTACTGCCTCTCTACTAGACCCTTAGCTCTTTAAGGGCAGGGACAAGATTGCATTTATATTCATAATCCCAACACGTAGGAGGGTTCCCAGCAAATGGCAGATGTTCCCAAAAATACTTAAGTAAGTAAATAACTGAAATAAAAAGAAAAGCAAATGAAAACATTTAAAGATAAATTATACTTTAATAGTAGAAAGGATCAGTAAAATGAAAACAAATGACATGAGTTCCAAAAACAAGGTCATTTATAGGTTATTTATAATACAAGTACTTTAATATTCCATTCAAGAGTTATGCCACTTAAATATGGAGTGCTTTAAAGTAATATTATATTTCAAACTCTTGTTAAATTTAGAAATTTTTATTCTAAAATTTGTTCCAGATATAATTTTTTTAATAGCCAAAAGTTAACCTGTATTTCAGTGAGTAGCACAATGCGTGACAGGTGTTCAATTCATCCATCTATTAAAAAAATATTTATGAGCCAGGGTCTCTGATAGGTGCTAGGCCCCTAGGAGGCTAGGGTAACACAGAGTAGACATTGGGGCTTCCTAAGGTAGGAGGACCAAGGTCAACCTCCCTCACATTGGCTAATGACTGCAAATGGCTCTACCCTAAGAGCAGGAGTAAACTAGAAGGACAGGCTCTCATAGGAACTACAAGTCAGATTTGAATCATCTCAATTATTAAGTTGGATTGAGATAATCCTGTTAACTGGAAGAATGGAAGAAACAAACATAAATCGTTATCTAGAGCAAGACAGCATTATGTTAAGGCTCTCAAATTCTACACACAATTTTACAAATATAATGTCAAGATCACATATATACACATATACACAAATAAGTAACCAGACATATGAAGAAACAATAACATGGAAGAAAAACAAAAACAGGAAAAAAGACAGTCCATGGGAGCTACAGATGTTGGAATTCACAGTCATGGACTTTAAAATAAACATGCTAATTATATGGGAAAAAATATAAATTATAGAACTAAAAAATTAGGAACTTAATGGGTTTTAATAGCACATTAGAAACAATTGAAGAGTGAATAAGAGAATTGGAAGATAGGTTGGAATAGGCTGGGTAGAATGAAGCAAGGAAAGACAAAAGGATGGAAAATATGTAAGACAGGGTTAGATATACAGGGGATTGAGAAGGTCTAAACTTAAAAATGTACAAGAAGGGACTCCGATTTCCTGTTTGATAGGTAAAGAGCTTGGAAGTCATTACTTATATCCTCACACACACACAAAAAAAGTAAACTGAAAATCAACAACTCTCCTTAGATCCACAGAGAGTTGAGGTCTTAGGGCAATGGCCCATATTTGGGCTTTGAGAAAAAAAGAAGATAAGGAGAATGGAGCAGAAATTACATGTGAAGAGATAACAGCTGAGAATTTTTCAAAATCAACAAAGACCTCAAGCAACAAATTCAAAAAGCCCTACAAACCACAAGTAGCTTGCATAAAACACACTAAACCTAGATAATAAGCGCAGAAAATGTGTTTGATAAATTCAGTACCCACTCATAATAAAAAGTGTCAGCAAGCTTAGGAATGAAAGAGAACTTCCTTAATTTGATAAAGTACAAAGGATAGCACCCCAAAACCTAATTCATCTAAGTAAAAAAATGTTGAAAGCCTTTGGTCCAAGATCAGAAACAAGAAACAGAATTAATGATCGCTCCTTCTAATCAACATATCCTGGAGGCCCTTGCCAATGAAAAAGAAAAATAGTGTTAAACCAGTAGAAAAAAAATCTAGTCATTTGCAAAAGACATAACTGTATACACAGAAACATCCCTTGCAAAAAAAGCTATTAGATAAGTTACTAGAATAACTAAGTGAATTCAGCAGTATTACTGGATTAAAGATCAATTCATAAAAAGTAACTATATTTCTAAAGACCAGCCAAAAAGAAGTATAAATAAATTTTATATTTTTTGAGACAGAGTCTGGCACTCTCGCCCAGGCTGGAGTGCAGTGGTGCGGTCTCAGCTCACTGCAACCTCCACCTCCTGGGTTCAAATGATTCTTCTGCCTCAGCCTCCCGAGTAGCTGAGACTACAGGTGTGCGCCACCAGGCTCGGCTGATTTTTGTATTTTTAGTAGAGACAGGGTTTCACCATATTGGCCAGACTGGTCTTGAACTCCTGACCTCGTGATCTGCCCACCTCGGCCTCCCAAAGTGCTGGGATTACAGGTATGAGCCACTGCGCCCAGCAAGAAGTATAATAATTTAAAGGACTAGTTAAAATAGCTACAAAAGATATCAATTGCCTAACAATAAGTCTACACATTAAAAAAAAAATTTAAGTGGGGCTAGGTGCGATGGCGCGCACCTATAGCCCAGCACTTTGGGAGGTCAAGGTAGCAGGATCACTTGAGCTCAAGAGTTTGAGGACAGCCTGGGAAACATAGCGACACTCTGTCTCTATTATAAGTGAAAAAATTTGGCTGGGCTCTGTGTCTCACACCTGTAATCCCAGTACTTTGGGAGGCCGAGGCAGGTGGATCACTTGAAGTCAGAAGTTCAAGACCAGCCTGGCCAATATGGTGAAACCCCATCTCTACTAAAAATACAAAAATTAGCCACCTATAATCCCAGCTACTTGGAAGGCTGAGGCAGGAGAATCACTTGAACCCAGGAAGCAGGGTTTGCAGTGAGCCGAGATGATGCCAAGGCATTCAACCTGGGTGACAGAGTGAGTCTCTGTCTCTAAATAAATAAATAAATAAACAAATAGTGAAAACATTAGCCAGGCATAGTGGCACATGCCTGTAGTCCCAGTTACTCAGGAGGCTGGGGCAGGAAGCTCACTTGAGCCCATGAGTTTTGAGGCTGTAATGAGACACGATCATGCCACTGCACCCCAGCCTGGGTGACAGAGCAAGAATCTGTCTCTAAACAAACAAAAATTTTTTTAATGGGAAAAGATCTGAACAGACACCTCACCCAAGATATACCAATGGTAAATAAGCACATGAAAATATGCTCTGTATTACATGTCATTAGGGAATTGTAAACAATGAATATTACTACACACCTATTGAAACAATAAGATACTACTACACACCTATTAAAATGGCTAAAATCCAAAGCACTGACAACAGCAAATGTTGGCAAGGATATGAAGCAAGAGGAACTCTCCAACTGTTGGCAGGAATGCAAAATGACACAGCTACTTTGGAGGATAGAGCTTGATAGTTTCTTACAAAACTAAATGCAGTCATACCATATGATCCAACAATCATACACCTATTTACTCAAACGAGTTCAAGATTTATGTCCAAATAAAAACCTGCACACAAAAGTGTATAGCAGTTTTATTCATAATTGCCAAAAGCTGGAAGCAACCAAGATGTTTTTCAATAGGTAACTGGATAGGCCGGGCACGGTGGCTCATGCTTGTAATTCCAGCAGTTTGGGAGGCCGAAGCAGGTGGATCACTTAAGGTCGGGAGTTCGAGAGCAGCCTGGCCAACACGATGAAACCCCGTCTCTACTAAAAATATAAAAATCAACTGGGCATGGTGGCAGGCACCTGTAATCTCAGCTACTTGGGAGGCTAAAGCAGGAGAATTGCTTGAAACTGGGAGGTGGAAGTTGCAGTGAGCCGAGATCACGCCACTGCACTCCGTCTCAAAAAAAAAAAAGTGATTGGATA